ACCAACCCCGGGAGCACTGGGTCTGAAGGGTTAAATAAATTACTTGGATTGAACCTTCCAAGTAGAGAAAAGACAATCAAAACAAAGTGCCAACTGACAGGAAACACGGTAAACGGAGGAAAATGATCTTTGGTTTAATCCACAGAGCTTTAGTTAAATGAGGCTTACAATTTGCTGTTGCCCATCAGTTTTATGAATATTTATGTTCTGCTTCTGCATTGAAAAGGCTCTCAGGACCTTTTTTGTTACGTCTCTTGAATATTTAAGTTTCAAGCTATGCTGATCAGTCAGGTCAGAAATATTGTTGGAGTCTTGGTAGCAATGGAGTTCCTCCTGCTCCCCTAAAGCCTGGATTCCCATGTGCTTTGGATGGGAAACCACAGCAAGCTGGAAAAGGGATTGTCACTACATGGCAAAAACTTTTAATCAAGAGCTTGTTTCGTCTTGTTACAATGAGAGTAAGTCTCTTTCAGGGCTTTTTTCCTTGGCTTGATTTTGGTTCTGCTTGTGAGTTTTTCAAGTGAGCTGTCGCGTTTTCTAATTATAAAACATTCTGCACTTGCAGAAAAGATTGGGCTATACACTTCTAAACTCAATAGATTGCTTGTCACTGCTGAACAGGAAACCTTTATTAGCTTTCAGTCTTTTTTACATTTGGGGGGCAAAAAAAAAGACAATCTCTTCTTTACTCGTGCTGTTGCATTTACCTAATTTCATCAGTAAATGCACTCTGACACTGCAAGGACGTGGAAATGCCTCAGTTATGAACTGGTAACTTCCTTGAAGACACAAAAATGAGTTTCCATGTTTTGCAGATGTGAGGGTGGTGAGGCACTGGCCCAGGTTGCCCAGAGAAGTTGTGCATGCCCCATCCCTGGAAGTGTTCAAGGTCAGGTTGGATCTGGGTCTGAGCAACCTGGTGTAGTGAAAGGTGTCCCTGCTTGTGGCAGGGGGGTTGGAACAAAATGATCTTTATGGTCCATTCCAACCCAAACTGCCCAATAATACTGTCCAAAATACTTAGAGGGGCTAAATATACTTTTGAGGCTTTTTTACTTGAAGGTTGCCTGACATTTACATTTCCCAAATTTTAAAGTTATCAATTCCGTAAACACTCGGTCAGGAGTGTATTCACTCTACAGTCACCTGACTGTGTGTTTTAACTTTTTCTCTAATTAGTCTAAATATTCCTCAGATTAGCTAAGGTTGTCTTGAAAGGCTTCTTTTCATGAGAAAATAATTGGATGCTCTTTTCTTCTGGAACTCTTTGATAGGATTCCCTGATGCCAATTTTTCAATACTCCCTTTTGGCCTGAATGCACTTGCAACAAGCCAAATGGTAGGTTTCTAATTAAAAATCCAATTCTTAAAAATAAAACTTGTCTGATCTCTGGAAACAAGTGGCATTATATTGACAGCCTCTCTGGCAAAGTTGAGGAATTGAATGGCAAGTACAAAGGAACACAGCGAGCTGTAAAAACCTTTATCACACTTGAGAGCATTCCAGCAGCAAAGGCCAATTCTTGTTAAACCAGACACCAGTCATGACAGCAAGTTCTGCAAACTGAGAACACTCTATAAAGCTGTTGCTCCCAAAAATGAGCTGCCCAAAATACACTCCTGAAGTCTTAACGTGGGTGAAAATATCTGAAATCTATCACTTTACTTTGCTTTTATGTTTTCCAATCGAGTACTGAGTAGTGTAATCGTTATTCCACAAAAGGCTGTGGACATTGCTAACACATGAAACTTTGGCTGGTTCTTCCACAAGGCATTCTCAATGAGAGGTACTCTCTGCTTTATTTATTTATTTCTATTTTGTTAGTAGAATGTATTTCTAGGTCATTCTGAAAAACTAGATTACTCCTTCTGTAATCCAGGATCTGAGAAAAAACCCCCAGAAAAATAGTTATTAATGATTTGGAGAAAAAAATGCTTTTCTTTCTTTTTTTTTTTTTAAGTGGGTATTTCTCTCCTGCCTTTCAGTGCTGTAGGGACTTAGTGATTATGGGTGTTCTAGTTCTTGAAGCATTCATGCACAGCCAGTAGTAAACCAACAGCTTGCTTTTAATCCAGTTACATGAATTTAATTGAACGTTCATTTATAAAATGTACAATACAAAGCTCAAGCTTTTCCTGAGCTGTTTTAAAATCCATCTCCCCTTTCAGAAAAGCCAGATCTTTGCCTACATTAGTGTTGCTTTGCAGTGTTTCAGCAACAGGTACCAAGTGTTTCTCGAAGGCCTTTGCTGTATTTTGGAGCACTCCTACATGAGCCAATGACTGCATGCATGGTTGGAACCACAGCACTCCTTCTCCTTGGCCCTGCCTCCAGTCAGACATTGTTCTGGAAGAAGTGGTGTGCATCTGAAGAACTCTGGCACTCTGTTGGCTTAGTTTACCCTGGAGGTTTTCCTGGCTCATTCCAGGACTGAGGAAATGCAGTGGTATCCGTGTGTCTCCATTCCAGCTGTGCCAAGTGACACCCCCTGCCAGCTGTGGCTTTGTCCTCAGGACACGCTGTGTAACCCCCAACTCCTCTGGTTCAGTGACTACCAAGATGTTCTCCTAAAACCCAGTCATTTTTAGCAGCTCAGCTGGGTAAGGTTGCTTAGGAACCAGCCTTCCTATCCCCCACATTCTCATGACAGATCTCCTATGCAATAACATCCCTGCATGACACATTTGTATCCAGACACACATTCTTTTTCCACTTGAGATTCTCTGAGTAAAGGTTGTTGATGCCTCACACAATTCGTAAACAGCATGTGGTAAATCACTGGAGTATTAAATCACTGCCACAGTCAAAATGAGCTCAAGTTTGCAATGTGAGCAGTTCCTCACTCCTCAATTTAGTTATTGATCTTTCCTTCCAGAGAGGAATTTTTGTTTCATTTCTCAGACTGGGCAGATAGATGGAATTATGACTTTATGGTAATTTCCACTCTCTTCTTTGCTTCTGAATACAACACTTGCTTGCATAATTTCAAAATTTAGATGGCAAGGGCTTTTGGTTGCAATCGCTTTCTCCTGCATGTATTTTCTTTGTATTTGTACAAGGCATCTCATATAAACTGGGTATAAAAATATTTCTTAGCAATAGAAATATTTACATGTTTTAAAACATCACTAGTAAGTATCAAGATACCAACCCTGCAGCTGAGGCAACTCATTCTCAGCCACCTCATATTTATGTAGCTGTCCTTGACTGAAGGGATTTTAGCCCTGCTTTAGCTTCATTTCTCCTTCTCTGTTTGCCATCAGTACTGCACTCCTGCCAGAATGGCAAATTTAGCCAAATAATGAGAAAAGCTGCCTGCCACATCTGGCACAAAGGATATTTGCCATTGACAGGGACAACAAGGGCCTGTCACAGTCTTCTTGTTTAGTCTCACGAGCATTCAGAACTGCAGGCAGTGCTTTTATGGCCTGTGCAATGTATCATCAGTGAACTATATCATTTGAAATTATGGTATTAATTTTCATACATTTTCATAATTTTCCTATGTTTCTGTTAATTTTATTTTGTATCTATAAAAATTTGGCTTATTATTTGAATGGCATTTCAAACATTACGGATCAAGAGTATAATTTCTTTAGTGTTCATACTTTGCCAAAAGAATCTATTTTTAGCATCAACATAGCCAAACATAATTTAAATGTGCATTTTGCTTTATAAAAGGCCTAGATCCTTCAATAAAGAAGCAGTACAGTCAAGACAAAGATGATGAGAAAGTTAAGAATTTCCTGGGCAGAGAAGGGTTTATGAAAGAATGGGATTTAAAATGGGATTTGGAGGCAGAGACAAGCTGCCCCCTTGAAAAAAGCCAGACTGAAATAACTAAGCCAAAGAGAGAGAATAGTAAAGGGATCTATAAATTAAAAGAAACAAATAGGGTTAGAACATACAACATGTTGCAGATGAGGATAAAGTGTTGCACTGAAGACTGTGACAGAAAACCAAGAACAACCCCACGATACCAAATGAAAATTCAGTTTTGTTGGCCCTGATTTTGTCACCAGCTTTAAAATGCCACCAGGAAAGATACCTTTTGCAAATAATGAGGGAAGATGTGAAAACATCTGCAGCTGCATTCGGTTGAACGGTAACAGAAACACAGATTAAAATTTTTGCCAAGCTGCTCACAAATCTAGAGAGGTGTCTGCGGTGTTCGTGAGGGAAGCACGAGCAGAGTCGCGCAGAAGTGGAAGACAGAAAGCAAAACATACAAAACCACCACCCTTAAGTGGTGTGACAGGCAGATGGCTTTAAAAATACTCCCTTCTAATTCTAAGTCATTCTTCTCGTGCTTATCCACAGCAGAGTAACAAGAACAGTAACACTGATCCTCAGTGCAGCATCCAAGCCACAGGAGCCCACCGTGGTTCACTTTGTGACCTCACCAGTGTGGAGGTGAAGGTTACAGGGAAAAGATGTACATAAACTTTTTTTCCCCCTCTCCAGCCTTCTTTCTACAAGGAAAACACTCATCAAAATTTAGTTTTCAGATGTGCATTCAACGAGATTGGTAGAAAGGCTGGTTTCAACACACTGTAAGCATTTGTTGTTTTTAATTCTGATAAATCCTTTTCCGAGGGGAGGATGTTTGATTTGGTCATAGTGATATTTCACAATTTGTATTTTCATGCTGCTCTTTTGAAAAGTGTTTTACTTCCTCTTCTTAAATATACAGCAGACTTACAGTGCATTCTAGGAACTCTATTTGCCACATGTGCCAACATTTTAAAATCTGTGGAGGAAACTCAGCAATGCACAGTAATGGAAGATATAGGCTCTTAATACTACAGTAATATTCACTCTTTCCTCCTAACCAAAAAGCAACCTGTGTGTATCGTGAATTTACTTATGTTGCACTTAAGAAGCCCTTTGTCTTATGCACCCTTAAAGTTCCACTACCTTGTTCAGTCACATTGTATAGCACAGCACTTCCATAAACTAGAAAACTGCCTAGAGAGAGGCCATATATACAGAAAATTACCTGGTCCTCAAAGTCAAATTCTGTATAAACAGGATCTCCAGAATCCATAATCAGACTGCAATCAAGTTCATTTGGCCCTAAAATAGGAAAGAAAATTAAGACTTCAGAAATGGTTTGGAAATTTTCACTTTATGTGATGGAACACTGTAATATTTCCAATAATCTGTATCCGTGCAAAAACCCTGATCCCAGGGACCCTTTGGATGTGCCAGAGTACTCTGGTGAACCGTGTTTCATTAACAAAGCCTTCAAAGCATCCAGAAAAGCTCCTCCAAATCTTAATAGGGAAGTGTTATGCTAACTGGTGAACTGTTTTAGCTACACTGCATATTTACTGGGCAGGGTGTTCTGCGTGCCATGACTTGCAATTGTAAAATTGCCACACTCAGGGGAGAATATCAACCACGTTTAGGAAAGGAAATACTGACTAAGTGCTGATTAGCAGATAAGGATCCTTGAGTGATGCTGATAAGGGACCATCATGCTTCCAGCTGTCAAGTCCCCATTTCCATCCTATTCTAACCCTTTCTAAGGTGACTGTGTGGCTCTGCCCCTTCTCCTTGTCATCTTCCCGTGGCAGGACCAGCAAGAACGAATTCTCGTGCAAGTGGGATGCCAAAATTCAGTTGCTGAGAAGCCTTGACCTGGCTGAGCTTTACAGTTTGGCTTCAGCTGAGCTGCTGAAGGTGCAGGACAACAGAAACTGAGCTTGATACTTCAAGAAGTCATCTAGGGGGGTACTCATTGCTAAACCAGAATGGGAGGATAAACCACCAACCATCTTTCTATATGAACACAGGAAGGGTAGAGCATGGACATCATATTCTGGCACTGGCACCCCATTCAGATTAGTTCAATCCTGGGCCATAAGGAAGGAATGGTCTCCTGGGTCCTCCCGAATGTGCAGCTCCAAACCAAATACTGCACGTGTTCAGCAAACATTAAAACATCGACAGGCATGTGACTAGAGGAGTATTTATCACAGATAACAAAAAATCCTGTAAAGATACACAGAAATCTAAAGATTGTAACCAGCCAGCAGTCACAGATGAGTCCAATCACTAACCTCATGTGGTAACAGCAGGGGAAGTGTAAGATGTGTTTTGTTTCGTGCCCACGTGTCCCCAGCCAAACAAGATCACTGAGGTAAAGAAAACAATTCCCTGCCTCCTGGGTTCCAGGTATCTCTACCTGGTATGATGTTCCTGCTGGCACTGAGGACAGACAGTGTTAAATCTATTGCTGCCCTGGTGTTTTCTCACCATTAGGATTGTTTGTGTGGGTCTCTCGCTCCAACAAGCACCATCAATAACAGATTTTGAAGCTCAGTTCTTGCCAGATACATTTATGTATTATCTGGCTTTGTTTGCTTTTAAAGTTTACACAGTAATAATCTATGTAGGTGGCGAACTAAATATCACTATGAGAGAGAGCAGAGCAGGGGAACTGCATGTCATGATGACCAAACTGTAACTTGGTAGAGAGGATGATTCCAGGGTGTTTTAGTTTGCAATCTGTATCACAACTGCTGCCAAATTAATCTTCAATTTAACTCTTTGGACTACATAAGAGACACTAGGGAAAGACCTGCATTTACCATCTGCTGCTGGGTTTGGTTTGGTTCCCTTGCTCCCACCCCCAATGCTCATGTATACTTTATCAGATTGCTATAAAAAAAAATTACAGGAAGGAATGATACTCCTGCTACCACACAGTGTCACATGTACATATGCAGCATGTTCTCTGACATATACAGCTTATGGTCTTTTGAAAATACCTGTCTCTAAAAGATATAAGCAACCAAATAGAGAGAATCTTAATTATTTGATTTATTTTACACAGCTGACATCTCACTCTTAACACCGTGTCATTGTTGATAATATAATTTAACTAAGCCTCAGTTGTCACTGGCACTGGCCTACTCTGGCACATCAATCACTTCTAAAGGCACTTGTGTGCACTTTATTAAAGGCACTTGATTAACTGTCACTTAACTACCAAGAGCAGTCCGTATCCTTTGCTAGAAACATTAATATGAAATATGGTGCTGCAAACTTAAATGTAAAGGTCAGGCTGAAAATGAGTACTCATGCATAATGTATCTTAAGTGATAAAAGCCATAATGGTTATACAATTTTAATATGGTCAAGCATCTTAAGGCCTTTTTTCTTGAACTAGGACGCCGGTGTCCTTGGGAAAACACAGCTTCTTTCTGGGGTTTATTCAAGGAAAATTGAAAAATCTGTGTTTCCTTTGTTGGTTTAATAAAAACTACCAACCCCACAACCATTCATCACTGAACAGTGTACAGACTTCTCTACCCTTTTCAAATTGCCTAAAGACAAACCTACCAGAAATGAACTGAAGCAAATGGCTGCTCCCAGGATCAGATTAAGGAATGAGGGGACATGTAAGAGCACTTCTGATATCCCTGGTGCAGCAGGAGGAGTCTGCTATGCTCCAGCTCAGTTTGTTGTCCCCTTCAACCAAATAATCTCAGCTCTTGGTTAACTTGGGACCTTCCTATGCTTGTATGAACCCATTGAGGTGATCTGAGTATCTTCATCGATTGCAAAAGGGGAAACTCAAGTTAAAAAAAAAATTAAGAAAGTGCATAGAAGTTCTACTGCCATGGACAAATAACTTGCAAGCACCTGATCCACAAAGGTACTCTTAGGACTTAAAACATGCTTCCTTAATTGCATGAATAAAGTTAAGGCAAGGGAGACCTGGACATTTTCATGTGCCCTGTGTTCTCCTTAGGGAAGGAAAAGAGGATTTTATTAGGTACACTACTGCACAATTAAAAAATAAATCACTTGCAAGTTTTTATTAAATCCCTGTTAAGTGAATAATCAGCTCTCCAGGGAGGTGCAGGCTGATGAAATAAGAAAAAGCAGATCAGCTACAACGCACTCCCTTTTTTTTGCCACGTTTTGTATCTTGACACCAAAGGCATCATTCCTAAAGCTCTGTCTTGCCAGGAACCCAAGAGGATGCAACAGCTGAGCCCTGAGGGCTGAGGTGAATTACAGGTGTATGAGGATGGTCTGACAGCCAGGACAGAGACAGCCCTGCCCTAGAGGGGAGCACGGCTCTGCTCAGCCCATTCCTTCACCAGGAGGCTGCACTTCACATTTTAGACTGCATTTCACATATTGCTTGTTGCTCCTGAGCTGAATTGCACAGGTTTGGTCACAGAAAGCTGGGAGAGTCTGGTTGCTACAGGCAGGGGTGTAATTCTCACCACAGAAATCCACCCCAAAGCCCAGGGGATCGTGGCCATAAATGTCTGTGCTCCTACAAACATTCCAGGGTTCTGAGCCTGGTGCATGGCACTTTCTCTGAAAGTCTGTCCATCCTTAAGTTTTCATGTATGCAAATGTCAAGCATTGCTTTTTCACACTTCACTGAATTCATTTATACAATGAAACTAAACTGGACTGATCTGTCTAAATTTATCTGCAGTTGATTTAACTTCCCATTACACGGCATCAATGCCCCATCACGCGAGCTAATTAAGTGTATTCCTTGGACCATTTGTGTTTTGGCAAATCAGCTCCTGTATTTCCAAACCTTGCTTAAATCCCTTACTTATCTGGAATCCCGCTAGCAACTCTACTCAATATGGTTCACTGGCTCAAATATGCCCCTGTTCATATTTTAACAACTCCAGTATTTGTACTGTTCAACACTGACTGTCAGAAGAGTAATCTAAGCCTACCCTGTGACACGTGCTGCTTCTCTTAATAGCATGTTTAAGCTCAATAAAATAAAAATGTCTTTTTATGTTACAGAACATGCTCTGAAGCACCGTCTAATAACTCAATTAATACGTGTTGTGTGTAAGCACTTGGGCAAGACAAATGTTTAGAAGATAAATTTTAAGTGGAATATTATAGAAATAATTTATTGAAGGACTGATTAGCATTAGAACGATTACATTTGAATTTTCCTCTCAGTAAGACATTTCTAATACAAATTTTATTGCAACCTTACATTGTTGAGTTTCATGACAGGTTGTTGCTCTTGGCAACAGTCTTAAGATGCTGTAGAAGGCAGCAATGAGAAAACTGTATTTTAATCTATAAAAATTTCAGTTGTTTTCTTTCAGCATATATTGTTACAAAGTCGATTATAACTAGATTTTATGGCTATAACATGTGAATTAGATTGGTGTGAAGGCACGAAAATATTAGAAATACTATGTTTACAGTAGCTACCAGGAACCACAATATATTGCAATATCACTAATAAGGTTAAAAGACAAAAAGTGAGATCAAGGCAATGCTGGAATTGCAACGTCTAGAAATTAAATACCTGATCTCATAGAAATCCTACTTCAAACCTCCTGACTCTTATCAGTGCTCAGGTTAGGCACCAATTAGATGCTTGTGGCATGGCATCTGCTAGAACTCACAGCTCTCCAATTATTTTGGTGAGGGATTTATTAAGTAGATCAGACTTTCGAGGAACTGCCTGGAACTCCTCCAGAATCACAACCGGTTTGTGCAAATTGTTTAGGTCTTGTCAAGCTGCTTGTCAGAGCCAGCACCTTTATGACACTTCCCTCCTCTTGCTATTTGGCACTGAGCTCATTCAATCAGGGAATCCACAGGCAATTACCAACACAGTGTTGTACAGTGGGAAGGCCATTTTAGGTTTGGAATCAACCTCTTGCCTCTATGAATGAGGCTCAGAACAAAAGAGGTAAGTGTGCCACTGAACAGAGACAGGGTGACCATTGGAAACCTGTGGTTTTTCAGCTGGTGCACTTTTTGTAATTCTCAATTCCCCTCCCCCAACCCCCCTTCCCTCTCTCCCCCCCCCCCCCCCAATCCTTCATCTGTGTCTCATTTAGAACATAATCAAAAACACCCTTATGGGTGGCTTTTGTAGGCCAGCGAGCTCAGAACTGCCCTTCAGCTCCTCAAAATACGACCTGATCTTCCTGTCTGAGGCACTGCTCTTTGCAAATGCCTTCTGGGAGGAAAAAATAATCTCCCCTTTGTCAAAAAGAGATAACAGATGTGTTGCTACTTCCTTGTGCTTCATCAATTCCTCCTTCCTTGGCAGGGCCCAAATGATTGTTCACAGTTACAAATAAATGAGTCTTTTCTGCCTGCCAATTTATGGGAGATGAGTTTTCCCTTAAACAGAGGACAGATCAGATACATGATTTTCTCTACTATATATATATATAACATTTGTTGTAATAAAGCTAGTAAATTTTACAGGAACACATTTCCCCTAGAAATTTCTTTTTCTGTGCTGTTTCAGAAGACATTTACAGTATCATCTACCTATGCAACCCTCATGGTCTATTTGGAAAACAGGCAGGGATGTCATCTGTAAAAAGAAGTTGTGAAGTTACCAAAGAACATGTTTCTGTTCCCCTCAAGCAAAATATTTCTGACAGATGTTACACATTTTCGGCGCTTTGATTTTTAGCTTCAATTCTTTTGCAGTCCTTTGCCCCTCAAAGGCTTTTTCTTTGAAGACATTCAAGCCTCAGTAAACACAAATAATAAATACACAAATAAACGAAAGCCCCAAACACCTGACTTCTATTCACACACAGTTTCAGAGTTAGTATTATTATTAGGGAGGAAGTATAATCACTAATCTCACAGGACTGGTTTTCTGGTGAACACTGAGGTATTGCTGACAGCTGGACTTGACCCACTTATAAAGTTTTTGCACTAATTACACAGTTTACTGGACTTGCCACAGTATTTTAAGGTTAACTTGTAGAGAAGTTGTTAGGTGGGTTGTATGAAGCTTCCAAGAGTAAAAAGACTTTTTTCCCTTGGTTGTGCAAATGTCTGAGGTCAGTCCAGACTCTGCTACAGCACATATATCCACACTTGTGGAATGTGAAAACAGCATCCCACCAACAAATGTGGCTCCTTAAATCTTACATTGACTCACCTGCTGCAGCCTCTTTGTTTGCAAATAGTTTATTGTCAACTGCTGAACTTATGTCAGAGAACACTTCCTCTTCATCTCTGTCAGCATCAAACTGAAAAACAAAAGAAAAAGTTGGCAATCAGACCTTGTTCACTCCTTGGCTGATCATCAGTGTGTGACTTCTCAGCCCGAGCCTTCTTGATAGCAAACCTTCTACTTCTCTGTGTGCTGTCCATTGCTTTAGCTGTGAATCATTTTACTTTTGACTCAAAGCTAAATTCACTTTGTAAATCCTTTTGCCTATTTTTATGAGCTTGCCAGAAACAGAAGCAACAGTAAAACTGACTTGTCCTCAGAGAATGAAGTTTCAAAGCAAAAGGTAAAACTAGTAATGCACATTACTCCTAAAATTGTTGGATGGTTGAAAAAAATTACAGCGTAGAGACCAAAAATGGGATTACCTCACTGTCACTTCTTTTTGGAGATTAGCATAATTAACTTTCTAAATTTGCAAGACAAAAACTCTCAGCAATTTCTGAATTGTCTGAAACCAACTATTGTGACATTTATGTGTACAATTTCTTCAAGTAATTGAGCCAAACTCTTAGGAAATTATTGAAATTCTCCTGCTTATAGAAAAGAGAGCTTTCTTCACTCTCACACTGGCAGAAAGTGTAATGGTTCAGTGATGAATTAATACAATCAGAAAGGAAAAGCTCCTTTAAAAAGGCAAATAATTAATTTCTTACCATTTTAACCTTTCCCCCCCCCCCCATTTATTCTGTATTTTGCCTGAATTCTGATACTGATTCTCCCAAGTTTTTTCTCAGCTCTCTGACAGATTCTTTTCATGGCCAGGTGTGTCATGCTTGACAGTGGGTTTGTGACTTTTCCTATCATATTTATCAAGCTTCATTCATTTAGATCATCACTTTCTTTGGAAAAAACCCAGACATTTCATTACTGTTGCTCTGGAATTTTTCTTATTTTTTGGATTGAGGCCAGGTACATTACCATGGAAAGAGAGAATACTGTAACCTCTGTGTAACACCCCAGATCACTCTTTCCATTATGCCTTATGGTGACATCTGTATTACCTGTATCACCTAAGCTGTTCTGCAAATGTTTAATAAGGGAATTTATTTTCTTATGGAATTTTCCATGAGCACCTCAAGGTAAACTCAGAGGCAAACATCATCCCAAGAATCAGTATTTAGAGTGGTAGATGCCAGAAATAGTTCAAAAATAGGGAAATAACAGAAAAGAGACAAAGTGATGATTCTGCAAAGTGTGTCTGCATGAACAAAAGAAAGGGGAGGCAACATTGTAGGAAGTTTGCTGCCAGCGAGTTTAATTCTCAACACCTGTCCAAGTGCTCAAATCTTAACTGGTATTACTCCCAGTTTCAATCTTTACCTGCATGCTCAGCTCAGCAGTAGAGTTCACTTCTGTCACAGCTCAGCCTACTGTAATTATGGAGTTTTCTGACTGGCTCTGGAAATGGAGTTTGTGGCTCTGACCCTGAGGACCACTCAGAATTCATCCTGCAGCACAGTCACACATCTCTCTGGGCAGATACGTATCTGTTCCCAAGGAATTCTTTTGCCATTTAATGTGTGTCATAAAGCACATTTTGTTTGTTTCTAAAGCAGGAGTTTGTGTTTACCTACTAGAGGGATTACATTTTAATTTGTGTCAAACCCGAGGCTCGTGGAAGAACAGGTCTTAAATAAAGCTGTGGGGCTACACTTGGGCAATTTATTATTCATACTCAAAGAGCAGCTTTGGAATGTCCCTGTTGATCAGACAAGAGTGTTCCTAAGATATGCTAGGGAAGACATGTATTGTAAGATGTTTGTAGTTATGTGTGAGCATAAAAACCAGGCACTTGTAATGAGGTTGTGTCTCATCGTTCCTGTGTCACACCACGCCTGGAGAGATGGCAGGCTTGCCTTCTCATTAGCAGCATTTCTCTGAATAATCCAGTTTACCATGGAAAAAACACATGATCAATCTCAAAATGTTCCCAAGGTTCCAAGAATGTGAAACATCAACTTCCCTCTTCAAAGAACACCAACTGTGCTTCAGCACTCTGAAAAATCTGGGCTTTGTAACCAAAGCCTATATTGTCACCCAAAGAAAGCCAATTATTTGAAGCTTGTACACAGACTCAGTTTTCCCCTCACAAAATGAGAATTTTAATACCTGAGCCACAGGAAGGCAAGGCAGCTTCCATGGAGAAATTATTTTTGAAAGAAACCAAGTAACCTTGTTAGTTCTGCACCTCCTTGAATTGCTAAACATCTTAATGTGAAACCCTTTGATAATTATTGGAGGCTTGAATAAAAGGTGGAAGGTACTCAAGCAACCCTACTCACAAACAGCAGTAAAACTTGTATTTTTAGCAGAACCTGTCTAAATCAAACTTGTAAGGGGCAAAGATGAAGAGCTAGTGAGAACAGTTCAGAATGGAAGCAAACAGCAAAATTTATTCTAACAACAGTGTCTTTTCTGCTTAATTAATCACAACTGGTAATGGATTCCCCAGGATTTGAAAATCTTAGATTGTTGGTAAAAAGAAAAGTATTAATATTTTCAAATGAATCAATTAGGAATGAATTCAGCGAAATCTAAAGATTGCTCTACGTAGTCATAGCTGTCACTTCTGGATTTGTAATCCATTAACCAGATCCATGGAAGTGAGACACAATAATTGCTTAGGAAGTGGACAAATTATCCACATATTATCATCACCTCCAACAGAGGAATAATTTCTTTTTAAACAAAAAAAAACACCCCAGGGTTATTCACAAAAAAGAGAACATGGCTTCTTGTATGAAAGTTATTCTGTGCTTTTAAAAAGAGATACCCAGTTTATAAGTCAAATTGTATCACTGTCCTTTAAGTGTTGGTATTTTCTTGTTAGAAAGTTCACAATCCCAGGAACATGAAGAGATTCAAAAGACTGAGAGAGTTAAAATGACTTTCAGGTGGCAGTGGCTACAAGAAGAACACACTATTATTATTCAGACTGACTTAGGCAGAGATTTGCTCCCGAAGAATTGAAAAGAAACAATAACTAGTTTTATTTTACCCTTGGTAAAGACTAAATATAATCTAATAATACTAAATATAACTATAAATAATACTAAAAGGTGAAGCCAGACCCACACTCGAGTGCTGCTTTAGCATTTTTGGACACCCCCACAGAAATCCCTTCGTTGCTGTTGTTCCACCCCTAATTTGCCTCTCTTCATAATTACAAGTTAATTGACCTGTGCAGCTACATCCAGACAAAGTGGGAAAAGCAAAACAAAACCACCAGCAATATGGGAAAACAGGAAAGAAATATGTGAGGAAAAATATATAAGGTATAAGGATAATAACCATTGGGACAGGGGGCAGGAAAAATTCGTTGAAGCCTTGTCTAGGAAAATCAGTAAGCAGAGGAACTGAGAAATTCAGCTGAAATGTGCAGACTGGGAGTTCCCTATTATAAAGTATTTTTAACAATACTCCTAAAAAACCCCCAAACCTCCAAACCACCACAAAAGGGGGTGTGAGGACATAGGAGAAAGATATTTCTCTCTAATCCTTTCTCTAGTTCTAATATTTTTATTCTTTTACACCAAATACTCCAAAATCTCAGATTATTTTATATTTTACCAGATAGAGAAGAAAAACTACAACTGAAATTACACTGGAGCTCCCCAGTGATTTTTAAAATGTAATGCAACCAGCAGAAGTCACAAACTGGTTTCAGACAGAAATCTAGAAACTAAATTGGAGATATTAACACTATTATTACAATCCTAAGGATAACTAAGGGTTATCTAAAATAAACCACTTAATGCCTTATTTTTTTAACCACGGGAGTTCTGAAGAGGATTCATCAATAATTGCAGAGTCCTCATGTGTCTGTCATTAGTTTCTCAAGTTCCACTTGTCACCAGAGCCTCTGCTGCTGGGAGTGCTCCTTGTGAACGAGCAGGAGGTTCAGTGTTCTCCAGCCCTGAGTGGAGCTGACAGTTCTGCAGCAGCTGCTGCTGCCTTTTGTGTATCCCAAACTCATTTGCTCAAAATAGGTGCAATCTGGAGCCACCAATTATGTGATTTTTGAACACATTAGGTGCATAGACAGGCTCCTCTGTGGTGAGAAAAAAATGAAAATTAAACGATCAAATTCAAATAACGTCTTCCAGTAACGTTAATGAGTGCTGCAATGACCTTAAAAAAGAGTAAATACATCGTTATAACAGAAACTATCAGCTAATTTAACTGCCTTATACCACAAAATGTGAAAATACAAACATGCACCCCCATACACACAGATATTTTCTATTTTTTTTTCTCTTTTTCTGTTCTCAGTACGTAAACAATGAAATTACTGCAAAAGGCAGCCTTGGGGTTTTTTTCTTCAGGTGATTTTCTGCTATTTCATCCCAAACCCACGAACTCAGTGCCATGGCACACATCATGGAGATGTTCTGGCAGCTTCACTCCCTTCCCAGCAAAACCCTGCTGAGCCAGCTCCCAGTACTGTACCACTGAACAGGATGGCACCAAGGACATGGTCCCTCTCACCTGGAGAAACAATTAACAGCAGCAGTTAATTGTAACAGCCTGTCTCTGCACACTTGTGTGGAGTAACAGCTTTTGAGAGGCAGACAGAGGGAGAACTTCTGTGCTGTGATCATTGTGTCTCTGTGCTGGGATCATTGGAACAACAGCCTGACTTACATCAGTTTTCAGCTGACAAAAATGAGTGCCTTGGGCAATGTGGTGGCAACAGTGGATGGGGAAGACATCAGGCAATAACAGGCCCTTGTAGAGCAGAACATGGGCAAGCTGAAGGAGAGCTGGATTTGATCAGGATGAGGGGAGAAATCAATAATTGGGTGGCACAGCAGACAGAAAATTAATGGACTTGAGGGGATAAAGCGATTACTGGTTTGATAGGGAAGCTGATGGAGGCAGAGAGTGGTGCCACAGAGTGATTTTGGAGCATACATACTTTTCATAACACTAAGATGCAAAGCCTTTCTGTCTGTGCAGATATTGAAGAGCAGTGGCTGGTTGATTTTTTCCCCAATAAGGATGTTCATCTGGATG